AAAAGTAAAAGTAGTTTTCTTAAACATCAGAACACTACCGTTTTGATGTTATGGCTTGATGTATAAAAGCAAGTCAGTTACCTTTGTACTGAGTTAGTTTAGTTTAGTGGAAAAATTATAATCGGTTTTCTAGAATTTCTTCTCTCTTCTCATTTTTCCTTTTTCTTGCTTCTTGATTCCAAAATCATTCATGGTATCAAAGCCCTAGACCAACGTCAAAGGCAATCTTTATCCCAAATTCTGCTAAATTTCAACTTTAAACTACCTTGATTCAGTTTTGAACTACTAGAAATGGATACTAGTTTCACCAATTTCACAAATTCGAGCTTTCCTCCTACCTTGCCGACTATCTCTGTAAAATTGGAGGAGAAAAACTGCACTTTCTGGCGTTCTCAGAACTTGCCAGCTTTAACATCTCATGCACTTGACGGCTTTGTAACTAGAGAAAGAAGTTGTTTGCCGATGTTCTTAGTTGAGAAAGTAGATGACTCAGGGAAAACTTTAAAGAAGTCAAATCCAGATTATTTCACTTGGAAGAAAGTTGACCAATTCCTGGTAAGTTGGCTTCTATCCTCTATATCTGAATTCATGTTCTACCATGTAGCTAAGTGTAGCACCTCTTATGAAATATGGAACCTATTAGAGTTACATTTTCAGTTGGTATCAAAAGCTAGAACATTGCACCTCAGAAATATGTTGCAAAATACTAAGAAAGACTCTTGTAGTATAAACGAGTATGTCTTAAAGAGGAAGGAACTAGGAGATGAATTAATTTCAAGTGGTGTGCATATAAGTGATTAAGAGTTATTACTTTATATTCTGGATGGTTTGGGAGTTTAGTACTATGTAGTGGTGTCAAATAGCAGTGAAATAACATTACAAGAAGCCCAATTTTTACTCCACAAGCATGAAATTCGTTTGGAGAGACAGCAGAATTCATTTGGAAACTTTCATGAACAATTAGCTTCAGCATTGATAGCTGCAAAACAAAGCTCTAATGACACTTCCAATATCCCGCAAAATAAAACTTTGGTTATGCCTGAAACTAACCTCACCACTGAACAGTAAAAAATGTTCAATACTCTGGCTATGAACAATTTTGCTTTACAGACTCAGCAGTTCCCTACCACTCCGCAACACCAATTTTTCAATAATCCCTCTTTTGGAGCAAGTAATGCAAATCATACAAGTTATAGACCTGACTACAATATGCCTCATCAGAATCAGTTTCTTCCAACTATAGATAACTTCAATAAGTTCATTCCTTCTACTATGTTCATGTACGATCCTCAAGGAATGAGGGGTAGAGGCATAGGACGGTTTCATTTTCAACCACGCCTCATATGTCAGGTCTGTGGCAAAGGAAGGCACTTCACACTCCAATGTTTTTATAGATTTGACCATGGTTTCCAAGGTTTTGCCAACATTGGAAACACTAGAACATCTACTGGTTTTATCAATACTAGAGTAGCTAATTCCAGTAGGATCACAAGGCCACTTTCCAAATTCATCTACTCATGAAGCTTAAGCTCTAATGGCCAGAATTATGGCAGGACAACCAACACTAAACTCTGTCTACTGGAGCCCAACTAACAACTCTGGTTTAGGTGGAACATCTCAGTCACCACACTCAAGTTCACCTACTGGAGTTTCTGTTAACACTTTTCCTGGTCCAACCTCAGCATCATTTCAGGGAGAAGGGTCATTGATAATTTCCTCACAAAATGTGCCTATTGCTTCTCCTTAAACTATCGTTGACCAGACATGGTATGTCGATTCAGGTGCCACCAATCATATGACTTTTGATGCTAACAACTTGCTCATCAAGGATAATTATCATGGTGGATCTCAAGTTCAGGTTGGAAATGGTCAGCATGTTCCTGTCACTCACACAGGTGAGTCTCTTTTACCTTCTACCACTTGTCCTAGAGTATTATATCTTAAGAAAATGCTGTGTGTACCTCATATTGCGAAAAATTTATTAACTATATCTCAGATCACTAGAGATAATGGTGTCATTGTTGAATTTCATTGCGATCGTTGTCTCATAAAGGATAAGGTCACCAAGGCTGTTTTACTACAAGGCTCTCTAAAAGATGGACTATACCAATTGCAAATAGCACTCCCTACTATTGGTTCTGCATTCATTTCCTTCTCTACTCAGAAAAGTGTATCTCTATCTTCCTCTGACTATAATAAAGCATCTGTTGGTGCTGCTGTTTCATCAGATTGTGGTATAGAAAATAAGTTGTTTGCTAGTACTGGAACCTGTTCTTTAGTTTGTAATAAGGAAGTTGGTAGTATTAGTGATAGTCTTGGAGCATTAGTTAGTCAAGCTAATTGTATGCCAACAGATGACTCTGATGTAAAAGTTAGAATTACTAAGCTGTGGCATGCTAGATTGGGGCATCCACATGAGAAGAACTTGAAACATGTAATGGATACAATGAATGTATGTGGCTCCTTTGGGAATAAAATACCGTTTTTGAAGCTTGCCAATTCGGTAAAATGCAACAAGCTACTTTTCCTTTATCACATTCTCACACAAAAGGTCCTCTAGAATTAGTTTATTCTGACGTATGGGGTCCTATACTAGTTTGTTCCTCTGAAGGCTTCAAGTATTACATGTTATTTGTTGATGACTTTAGCAGATACATGTGGATCTATCCCTTAAAACTAAAGTCTAAAGCTTTCACTATATTTACACATTTTCATAGACTTGTTGAAAGGCAATTTGAAGTTAAATTGAAGAGCTTACAAACAGATTGGGGAGGAGAATTTAGACCATTTGCAGGTTATCTTCAAGCCCATGGGATTGTTTTTAGACATCCCTGCCCTTATTTACACCAATAAAATGGAAGAGTGGAAAGGAAACATCGAACCATTACTAAATTTGGGTTAACCCTGCTAGCTCACGCTGCCATGCCCCTTTGCTTTTGGTTACAAGCTTTTTCTACAACAACCTTCATTGTTAACAGACTGCCTTCCTCTTCTACTACCAACATTTCTCCATTTCAGACATTGTTTAAGCAAGAGCCAAATTACAGTGATTTTAAGGTGTTTGGGTGCTACTGTTATCCATATATTCGGCCTTATTAGAAAAACAAGTTTTCCTATCACACTGAAAAGTGTGTATTTCTGGGATATAGTTCATCCCACAAAGGCTACAAATGCTTAATTATCTTCTTCCAGCAAAACTTTATATTGTCAAACAAGCAAAATTCAATGAGGATGATTTTTTTTTTCAAATATGGTTTTAAGTGCAATTTTTTTAAAGATACTGATTTTGCAGGACTGACATCAGCACTAAATTCAGAAGGAGTTTCTTCCACTTGGGATTTCTCTCACTGTTACTTCTCCCAGTCCTACCTCTTCCTCAGTAGGTTTGAACTCAGTCTCTCAGCCTAATGCAAATGTGTCCTCATATCTGTATCTCTCTGTTCATCCTACTGGTATCCAGTTAGAGGTAGTTCTGCCCATATCTAAACCATCACCAACTACTAGTAATTGCCACCCATTGATTAATCGTTCGAAGAGTTACTCTTAAGCATATATGGGGTAGGTTTTTGGTGTGTTGTCGTAGGCAACCAAGATTAAAATCTAAAAACACATGTAGTAGTGTAAGGATCATTCCCATAGAGAGTGTCTAACTGAGTTTTATGTTACGTGAACAAGGTTGAGGGAGTTTCAGTAAAATAGAAACAATTTCAGGGAAAAACAATTCAAATTAAATTATCAATCAAAATAACAAACCTTGGTCTAAGTCAACATCCACTATCGAAATTTTACGACTGATCATCGATGCAAAAATAAATCAATTCATACTTTGAGTATTCACCGTTGGAACTATTTTCCTATCTCTCCTTAGTTGTAGTTAATTAGGAAACAAGCAATCTAATTAATCTTACTACTAAACAACCCTAGACAAGCGTTAGAGGTTTGATCTAGTAGTAGCCTTAAGGGCTAGAGAAATCGATGAAGCTAAACAACACAAACATAAGAGGTTGTATTTAATTTAGTTGAATGTTCTTCTTAAGATTTAATAATTCCTGACGCAGCAAATTCTTAAACCTTAATTACTCACAAGTTAGAAGGATCAAACAATTACGGATTTGATATCTAACTTAGCAGTAGATTGCAACAAATTATAAACTAGTAGGCCTCCTAGTAAATAAATGAAACAATCATGAAAATAGGCATAGAATAACATCCAATACTCAAAACATATATGGAACACTAGAAAAAACAGATTAGATCTCACAGTTTTATTGATTCTGAGGCCTCCGTTTCCTTCGACCAAGTTATAAAAGTTTTAGCCTCTCATGGCCATAATCCAAAACTTGAAAAGAGAAAAATCCCAAAAGAGAGAAAGCGAGGTGTGTGTAATCCTCCCAAATCTGATCTCTCTCTCCTCTTAAAGATATCCAATTCAAGTATTTGAATTCTACTAAATCTCCTAAAAATATTCCAATATCCTAAAATAACATTTATCCTAATCTGATTCTGATTAATTGAAAATAAAATAAAGTCCTAAAATAAAATAGGAAAGTGGTGTGTCCAGCTGTAACTTGCGTGCAACAGGTCTTCAAATCTTCCAATAATAAACTGCCTATTTGAATTGCATGACAAGGCAGAATGTTCCAGAACGTCCTATTTGAATTGCATGACAAGGCAGAATATTCTAGAACGTCAGCAGTGCAGGTGTGTCAACTTCAAGCCCAATTGAAACCTTGATTTAGCAAGTATCTCTCCAAACTCAAAACATGAAAGTTGTATATCTCTTTCTTAGAGTTCCACAACATTTTGAATCATCTCAATCAGAGCTCGGATGAGAGAGTTATGCCCAGATTACGAAGCAATGTCAAAACTATCTGAAGTCAACTAATTAGTTCCGTTTTGCATTTAACGCCTCCATTTGCATCCTAAATCAAAATAGAATAATAATGAGTACATTTAGGCAACAAATAAGTATAAAATACTAGACATTAAGGGGGGTAAATATGACATTTTGCATTCTCATCACTTATCTTTCTACTTGTCATATTTTACCTGAGCCAAAAACAGCTTCTGAAGCTTTGCAAATACCTGAGTGGGAAGCAGCAATGAGTGATGAATTTCAGGCACTTTTGAGAAACAATACCTGGGAATTGGTTCCTCATACATCGGACATGAACGTAGTTGGGTGCAAATGGGTCTTTAAGACCAAACTTAAAGCTGATGGGACATTATTAAAGTATAAAGCAAGGCTGGTGGCTAAAGGTTTACCAAGCTTGGATTACTTTGACACATTCTCTCTAGTTGTGAAACCAGCCACCATTAGAATCATACTGTCCTTAGATATCCATAATCAGTGGGATATCCAACAAATCGACATTAATAATGCCTTCCTCAATGGAGAACTAACATAGACTGTATTCATGGTACAACCAAAAGGTTTTGCTGATTTAACCTATCCTAAACATGTGTGCAAGTTGCATAAAGCCTTGTATGGACTAAAACAATCTCTTAGAGCTTGGTTTGACAAATTGAAACATGCATTAGTTTGTTGGGGATTCAAAAATTCTATATCTAACACTAGCCTTTTCTTCTACAAGAGAGCCCATCAAATGATATATCTATTAGTATACGTTAATGATATCCTCATCACTGGTACTGATCCTGATCTTATTTCTCATATTATTCAAGACTTGAACAAACAGTTTTCTCTTAAACATCTTTGTGTGTTGCAATATTTCCTTGGTTTTGAGGTTAATCGCAATGAGTCAGGATTACACCTTACTCAGTCTAAGTATGCTCAAGACTTGTTGATTAGAGCTGGTATGTTTAATTGCAAATCGTGCAATACCCCAATGGCGACAGGAGTGAAACTAGGGAAGGAAGATAATGCCTTTTATGATCAACCTTCACTCTACCGTAGCATTGTAGGTGGGTTGCAGTACCTTACTCTTTCCAGGCCTGATTTGGCTTTCTCCATTAATCGTCTGAGTCAATTTCTCCAGTCTCCCACCATTGCACATTGGACTGCTTGTAAGAGAGTTCTTCGCTATATCAAAGGAACTCTCTCACATGGACTGATTTTTCAGAAAACTCAGAATTCATCCTTGAAGGATATGCTGATGCAGATTGGGCTAGTGATGTAAGTGATAGATGATCAACCAGTGGGTATAGTATCTTCCTTGGTGGGAACCTTGTCCAATGGGTTTCTAGAAAGTGGAAGGCTGTCTCTTTATCCTTAACAGAGGCTGAGTATAGGGCTCTTAGTCAATCATCCACTGAATTGGTTTGGATTCAACACTTGTTTCAAGAACTTGGTATAACTATTAACAACACTCTTGTTTTGTGGTGTGACAATATGAGTGTTGGTGCTCTTTCTTCGAATCCTATTTTCCATGCATGCATGCACTAAGCACATTGAAATATATGTGCATTATGTCGGGGAGTTAGTTGCAGAGAAGAAGCTATGTGTTCAATATGTTGGTATAGAATATCAAGTTGCAGATATTTTGACCAAGGAACTTCCAAGTTCTAGGTTTCAAACTCTCCAAGCCAAGTTAAAGGTAATTGCTAGAGTTGATAATGAATTAGATAACAGTCTTCTTAAAGACATTAGTTTGCTTATTGAAGATGAAGATCCTGTTAAGTTTCATTATGATTATGGAAACATTGACTGCTCTTGATAAGTCCATGGAGTCTTTTTACTGAAGAGTCTGTTAGTTTTTCTGGAGTCCCTGGAGTCTTCTGCTGAAGATTTTGACAGTCCCTGGAGTTCTTGCTAAAGAGTCTGTTAGTTTTCCTTTTGGTTTGCTGGTGTTTTTTGATGAAAGATTTGCTGGAATCATAAAGAACTGTTCTGGTGTTTTTTGATGAAGATTTACTGGAGAATTTGGAACATTTGCAGATTTGTCTTATAGTAATTGCTGTGATACATGCTGAAGATTGTAAAAGAATTGAGGTTTAGCTTATAGGGAAATATTGATGTAAAAGAAATGAGGTTCAGCTTATGGGGAAATATTGATGTATATTGGCACATTACTATGTCTAGTTTAAGGGGAAATATTAGTATAACAGGATGAGGTTGTAGAATTTAATGTAGGGTGCACTTTGTTAGGTTGTATAAGTTAATATAGGGTGCACTTTGTAAAAAGTAAAAGTAGTTTTCTTAAACATCAAAACACTACCGTTTTGATGTTATGGCTTGATGTATAAAAACAAGTCAGTTACCTTTGTACTGAGTTAGTTCAGTCCAGTGGAAAAATTATAATCAGTTTTCTAGAATTTCTTCTCTCTTCTCATTTTTCCTTTTTCTTGCTTCTTGATTCCAAAATCATTCACCCACCTATTAGACCAGTCTTTTGGGTTGGACTCTCTCTTGGGCTTGAGTTCTAACATTGGTGCTTTTCATTGAGAGTTGGGCTGCGGAACAGGCTACCTATAGACTAGATTAAGGTGCAGTGTGCTCTCATTGGGAGAAGGTGCTGTATCGAATAACTGATAGGTGAGTGAAGCCACCCAAAGGGGGAAATGGCTACTGTCGGGTCAGTTTCGATAGAGTAAAAGTTGTCCTGTCGTGGAAGTCAGCTCTTGAAAGGGTGGTGCAATGTTAAGATCCCACATGATCCCACATCACACATCAGGATCTCTCATCCACCAAGTGTGGTACTTAAGCCTAGGAGCTCTCACACCTATCATGTAACGGACTGCCTGGCTCTAACACCCTGACTGGCCCGGCCACGGAGTTCACACAGCTCCCTACGTGGCAGGTATTGTCCCCCCCCCCCCCTCCTCCTCCCCCCTTAAGGGATTTCTTCGCCTCCCCCATGGCTCGAACCCATGCCCAAGGGGCTATAGGCAAATAGGAAGCACCATGAGTACCATCAGGCTAGCTCCCATTTGCCTATAGTGGGGGTGGACAATACCTGCCACTTAGGGAGCTGTGTGAACTCCGTGGTCGGGCCAGTCAGGGTGTCAGAGCCAGGCGGTCTGTTACATATCATCTCTCATCCACCAAGTGTGGTACTTAAGCCTAGGAGCTCTCACACCTATCAGGCCGGTCTTTTGGGTTGGGTTCTCACTTGGACTTGAGTTCTAACAAAGGATGAGATTAGGAGGAGGCAGCAATTACATGACAAATGGAAACAAATGACAACAAATGACTTTGTCTTACATGGAGACTACTACAAGTTAATATAAAATCGAGGCTGTTCTTAATCTAGTCTGACTTATTAATCAAGGAAAAAATAATATACATAACTATCAGAGAGACCTTCTCGGATAGAAACAGCTAAAAATCAAATTAATATTATTATAATGAATTGCCTCTTGATTTAGAAAACAAAGTATTGCTTACATTTAATAACTGATCAACACCTCAAATTGTTACTGTGTACTTCCAGCTTACTAGTTTGATAAATATCATCACTCAAAACAAAAAGGTTTTCATAAATCATCAAAGTTTTCTACAGCCCCCTTTCTGGATAACGTAGCACCTCACTACCTCTCTAGTATTTTAGATTTTTCTTTTTAAAGTAACAATTTCATATGAAGTTTTTGAAATAACGGACATGTCTCTCGATTCTTGTCAACTAATAAAAGAAAACCATAAACTGTGAAATTTTACACATTTACCCTTAAATACATGTGTTATAACATCATAAATAAATTATAAATTTTTATTTAACATATAAATAAATATAAACGTGGAAAATTAACAGGGGAGGGGGAGGGGGTTCAGTTTTTAAAGGTCAGGGATCCTAGCGATATTATACTTGCTCATAGCATTTTACAATTAATTAACAAGGGTCAATTACAATTAGGACGAAGTCAATATATACTCGCGGTTTGAGATTGGATTATCCAAAAAGTTGACTTTTTTTTTTGGAAATTAAGGATCGAGTTTACGAATATAGTATATAATGATCCTTTTTGAATTCTTAGTCAGCAATATAAATGATAAATAAACAAATAAGCATTAATTATACGCATGCTCTGATGACTGGGTTCTTTGGAACCGAAGTTAAAAAATATCATTAATTAAAATAAAATAATGTTATGTATCACAAGATATTTATATGAGCATATAGGTGAGATGATTATGTATTCATAATTATATTTCTAAAAAACAGGATTCAAACTTTTTTTCTTCAAATCTTGACCATGCAAGGAAGAATTTATTAGGCAAAAGCTAAAAAGAAAATATATAAACTAAGGGAGAGAGACAAATTTATGATTTATTACAATGTTTTAATTAACGCCGAAAAGCATTTGACTTTGCCAAATGTGTTAAAAATACATAATGTATCATTAAAATGGAAGTACGTACTTATCCAAGATATCATTTTCTAAAGTTTAATGCCTACTTAAAACATTCCAATGACTTGTAGTTTATGTATTTTTTATTCCCATAAGTTTACACGGTGAAATTTTGTTTGATTTTGGAGATTGAGGGAGAGTCCCATGGAAGAGTAAGGCAACAACATGTAACATTAATTATATTAATTTTTCTATTGAATTTTACATTTGAATCTTTCTTAAGGATTCTCATAGAGCCTAGGGAACCCTTATTTTTTATGATTTCTTTAGAGTAACTTATAACAATGAGAAACTTTGAGTGAATATAGTAGTGCCATAAAATTCATCCCGCATACATACTGTTAGTCATAAAGCATAAACGGGTGGATTTTGAGAGAAATGTGCGAAAAAGAAACAGATCTGATAAAGTAATTGAGAGAAGCAAAAAGGAGTTTTTCTTCTTAACTGAACAACTAAATACTGTTAGGGATGATACTTCCTTTTTATACAACTTTACTCTTTACAAAATGACAGTGCTTTGGCACATATTAAAACATTAGCACAAACTTAAAACGACACCGTTTATGCTTTATGACTAATATTCCCTCTCAAACAGAACCGTATGGACTAATCCTTCTTCCAATTGCTCTATGATTAATGCTCTCTCAAACAAGGCCATGTAGCTTATGCTAATTTCTTATGATAACACCTGGTATTTCAGTAAGAACACTTGGAGCCAAAGAAGAAAAAAAAAAAACTGCCTGTGTCACATCCAAATGAAAAACCGAGTAATGCATACTACATAATTCCCAGTGCACCATTTCTTGCATAATTTCCTGCAAATGCATACTGCATAATTCACAGAGCACCATTTCCTGCATAATTTCCTGCAAATGCATATAGCATAATTCACAGAGCACCATTTCCTACACAATTTCCTGCATAATTTCCTGCAAATGCATACTACATAATTCACAGAGCAGAATTTCCTGCATAATTTCCAAAGTTGAACTAGCACACAACAATAACATTTCCTGCTGAACCAGAGCTTCAGAAACCAATAATTTTTCCTGCTAAACCAGAGCTTCTCACAACAGTAACTTTTCCTGTTGAATCAGAG